TTTTTATTATTAAAGAAAGTTTTTTTTTATAGTAGGATTCCAGTACAGTACGCTTTAATAATCATTGTTCTGATCTGCAAAATCGTATTGTACTGGTATTATAATAAATATTATAGAACTGGTATAGTATGATATGATCATAATTTTGGAAGATCGTATTGCACCGTACTGATTAGCTGAACTGTACCGTACCGGTTTTCCCTATACTTATAATTGAGCTACATAATTTGTATCTATTTTATGACTTGCATCATAATAAATATTTTGAAATGCTTAGCTTATAGTTTAAATATTTTTATACATATATTTCATATTTGCAAAGCCTGATTACCATTAATGCGTTTATACAAGGTTAAATATTTTATAAAAAATGAAATTTACAATTATTCAATATTATAAAAATTTTATTAAAATATTTAATAATTAGGAATAATGAATCATTTTTCATATTTTAATAAAAATAATAACAAATTATATCTTTTAATCATAATATTTAATTATCGTTCAAAATCATTAAAAAAAAATATAAAGGAAATTTAATTTAAAATTAATAAAGAAATTAATTTATAGCAATTCAAGTATTTCTTGTAGATATTACGAGTGCATACTTTACATAATATTTACTTGTCAATTTTATTAATGAAAGTTAATTTTGATAAATTTTCACATTTCTTTTAAATCTGGTCTGTTACGACAAAGAAAATAATACTGAAGCTTATGAATTTACTCCCGCAGGGGTCAAGTAAGCTTTGTGACTTATTTTTACATTAATATTATGTAATGTAATTTAATTATAATCTTATTAGAAATTGAATACTTGGCAGTTCATGTAGTATTATTAAAATGATGGTAAAGAGATAACTTGCTGAATTTAATAATTCGTTAATTTTATTTTCTGCTGTATATCAACTGTTGAGGCTGGCAAGCTTAGCACGCTACAATTATAGTCAGTTTTAAGTTTTTGATCATTAAGATTTTTTCAAATTTGTCTAAAATTCGCAAAACATACTTTTATAGAAAAAAATGTGATTTAAAAATTATTATAGTGACGATTTGGATGATAAAACAAAGAGAAATTGTCATTTTGATTTTTTAAATTCAAATATTTAGGTAAACTAATAAATATATCTCCCGTTGAGATGAGAAGGAGCAATTTTCATTTTATTTTCAAAATAGTTATTGACGTATTTTTAATAATAATATTGGAAATTTATTAGTTTTTTTTTGTTTTCCTCTCACATCATGGTTTGCATCTTAATGAAAATATTCATAAACTAAAAAGTCTATATTTTTAAAATAAAAGCTAAGATGATTGGCTATTAAAAATTTATTAGCTGGTAATCCGTAAAATAAAATTTAAAAGGATTAAATCTTTGATAATTATAAATTCTTATGAAAAATGTCATTGTGGGTAATGCGTGAGATTTCCTAGCCAGATATTTCGGGTACGACTCTTACAATGTGAAATATATTGATAGCTGTTGTGACAACAAGTTTCTTTATTGAGGTGAATTTACTTAAACATTCCATGGGAAGATGCCCTTGTAAACAAATTTGATGTAGAGGTTGGAACTGAATTCAACCTTCGGATTTAAAACTGGTTTCCCCCAGTTTAGATTTAAAATCGGATACAAAATTTATCTAGCAGAAAAACCGGATTTATTATATCTGAATACATTTAAACCTCTGGATTTATTATATCCGGCTTTATTTAAACCTGGTATCTTTGACCAGCCATATAAGACGCGTCACAATTAACTAAAAACAATTTACCAATATTGGCTAAAAGTTTGCGTCTATGAGTAAATTCTTAATTTAGAAATCCAAAACGAAAATAATAATGCTTATTACAGTCAAACCTCTATGTAACGATACAGCTGTTTTGAGAAAAAAATATCGGTATATCAAGTTATCGGTACAGTATATTAAGAAAATTTTATATACCGATATTACTATAATTTGTTGATCAATATCGTTATAAAATAATAAGCCAATCAGATTTCAATAATAAATATCTTAAGAAAAATGTCAATTTGAAAGCAATATTAAAAAAGAAATCAATTATTAATTTTAAAATATTATTGTACTATATCATCTACAATTTTATTCTCTTTTTATCGAATATTTAAACATAACAATTGAATAAAATTTGAGTTAATTTTATTAGAGACAAAAGTGCCTTTGAATTTTATGAAATGCGCGCAAAAAAATACATATTTTACCACCACGCCCCTAACCACCACCCCTACGGACCCCGCTTTATTATATAGTTTTTTCTTTTGTTTTGCGCACATGTTTTTTATTTTGATTTCAAAAACGTCATAAATATGTGATCGCATACAAATATCACTTAAGTTCGTGATCATATTTGCGTTTGTGATCGTGATCATGGTTGCATAATATATAAATATATAAATGTTGTTATTATTTTTTTATTTTTATCGTTATTATGATTATATTTTTTTATTATTATTAATATTATTATTTTTATTTCTTTAATAAAATTTTTTTTTGCATATGTTAAAACAACTCTTTTCTTTGTTGAATTTCTTTTTATTTGTAGATGAGACATGATTCTAATGCAAATAAAGATGCATTATGTCATGTTAAGTATGGATTTATACTGGTGTAATCTGAAATATCGGTAAATCTTTCTATATATTAATTATAAAGGGACAAAGAAAAATATCGGTATATGTTACATTGTGAAATCATATTTAATATCGATATATAAAGGTTTTTTAATTAATAATAAAATGGTACATAAAAAATTTATCGGTACATGCAATTATCGATATATATAATATCATTACATATAAGTTTAACTGTATTCATGTGTTTACAATGCTTTGCGCTCTTTTTGTTTCTAAAGAGCTATTTGCTTGTTTTTTTGCTTCTGAGCCTGTTTGGTGGCCTGTTAAGATATTGAGGATGCTTCTTTTATATGCCTATTTGGTTGCTTTTTAAAATATTGAAATGGTGTAAAAAAAGAGGCGACAGGTGACGCAGTGAATTTGTGATTAATTTATGCCAGCTCTATGCGATAACTCTGGCTGATCTTTTGGGCATATGATTTAAGGATCCAATTTGGTGTCGTGATGGTGTCGTGATGGCATTCTAGTAGTGTCATGGAACTCTCCTAGAATTGTCATGGAACTAGAGTTTCTATTAGTTCGCTAATTTTATGCTAGCTTGGGTGTCAAAATATTATATCCAAAGTTCTGGTTGAAATTGTGGAATAGTGTTGGCCGAAATTAAGCGAATAAGTCTTATGCGAAGACTATATCATAGCCGAACATATATCTAGAAAGATGAAGCCTTCTTCTAATTTTTATATATAGATTACGAAGAAGGTTCCACTTTCAGATACATATCTACTTGTCTCCCTTTCACGATTTGTTGACTAAGTTCAGATAAAGCCTTCTGCCATTTTTATATAATATAATTCTGCAGAAGGCTTCATGCCATATCCAAGTATATACTAGTGATAGGGTAGCCTTCTGCCATTTTTATATAATATAATTACGCACTTACCTATACTTTCAGATACAACTGGATGCCTTTCTTTTATGATTTGCTCACTAAGTTCAGAATCAGTCTTCTGCCATTTTATATAATATAATTACGCAGAAGGCTTTATACCTTATCCAAATACATATCTGGTATATACCATTCAATAGGATAGGCTTCTCCCTGCAGTATACTTCATGATGCCAGATACATACTTTGAGATGAGGGCTTCTTCCTATAATGATTCCAAAGTTACCTCCATATCATACTCGAGTACATATCTAGAAAAGTGTATGCAATAATTCTATAGCCAGATTTACGTCAATAAAGCTACCTATATTCAGATATATATTAGTATTAGTGTAGTCTTCTGCTAATTTTTTATATAATAATTATGCAGAAGACTACACTTTTTTGTTGTATAATAGATTACCTTCTTTTATGATTTGTTGACTAAAATTGCTATACATCTCTTTTGCATTTATCAAAAAAATAGAGGACATCAGCTGGGTATATACCTGAATATATACCCGAATACATATAAGTCTTCTTCCAATTTTTATATAATAATTACGGAGAAGACTTATCTTCTGAATGTATACTATTTTGCCTTTCTTTTGCAATTTGCTTAGTGTGTTCACTATTACCTCTTTTTCGATGAATCCAAAAAATATTTTAAACATTTTTGATTTTATAGAGTTAGTATAACTTTTCGATTTGACATCATGCATATCATGACTATTTTCAACCAAACTGATCACACTAGATTTAACCTAACGTGCATTCGCTACGACAACGCTGAGTTTGTAGCTAGTATCCTATCATGTAATGATATTATGGCAGAATTTGATAATGGGATGACCGCTATACTTTAGCAATGCTTATCTAATAAGCAACCTGTATACTTTATCCCTACTACTGTAAGTGATAAGACCAAACACATTAATGGAGTATTCACCTATATTTTGCGTATTAGTGGTTGCTTGATTAATAGGCAAAAGGCTATCATGAATATTATAGGCATTAAACCTTTCTTTGATGTCGTAGTACCTGAAGAGACATCATTACCTACATTTAAGACCAAATTAGTAAATATACTGTCTAATACCCTCAAAGGCATATCGAAATTCGGGATCGAGCATATTAGCGCTTTTCCACTTCAAGGGTATTATACAGAAAAGAAACCATATATAGTCGACCCTCTCTACAATCACACCCTTCGGGATCGCCTTATGATGTGATTATATAGAGGTATGCTTATATGTGATTATGTAATTTCAAAAATTAAAATTAAAATTACCAGTATTTATTTTATTACATTTATTACATCTATAGTTTATCATTTTAGATTAAATTTTTAACACTTCGGCTGGATTCAAAGCGGTAAGTTTTGTTTCTTTTCTTCTTTGCTTTGTTTTCCTTTCGCTTGGTTGTTAAATTAACCAATTTCTTCTTTTTTTAGATTTTTCAACATTTCGGCTGAATCCAAAATGGTAAGTTTCATTTCATTTCTTTTCTTCTTTGTTTTGTTCTTCCTTTTTTTGCTTGGTTGTTAATTAACTAATTTTCTTTTTTTAGATCTTTGGGTTCTTCAGCTGGATGCAAGATACAAGGTAAGTGTTTCGTTATTTTCTTCTTTATTTTATTCTTCCTTCTTTCGCTTGATTATTAATTAACCAATTTCTTTTTTTAGATCTTTGGGCTCTTCGGCTGGATGTAAGGTGATAAGTTCATTTCTTGCTTCATTTTTCCTTCTTTCGCTTAATTATTAATTAACCAATTTCCTTTTTTTTAGATATTTGGGCTTTTCGGCTGGATGCAAGATGGTAAGTTCGTTTCTTGCTTCATTCTTCCTTTTTTCACTTGGTTATTAATTAACCAATTTCCTTTTTTTTAGATCTTTGGGCTCTTCGGCTGGATGCAAGGTGGTAAGTTCGTTTCTTACTTTGTTCTTTCTTCTTTCACTTGGTTGTTAATTAACCAATTTCCTTTTTTTTAGGTCTTTGGGTTCTTCGGCTGGATCCAAGATGCAAAGTGAGTGTTTCATTATTTTCTTTTTTGTTTCATTCTTTCTTTTTTCACTTGATTATTAATTAACCAATTTCTTTTTTTTTAGATTTTTGAGCTCTTCGGTTAGATGCAAAGTGGTAAGTTTCATTTATTTCTTTTTTTCTTTGCTTTGTTCTTCCTTTTTTCGCTTGGTTATTAATTAACAAATTTTTTTTTTTAGATCTTTGGGCTCTTCGGCTAGATCCCAAGGCAGTAAGTTTATTTTCTTACTTTGCTTTAATCTTTATTTACTTTCTTTTTTAGATGTTTCTTTTAGCTTTTCGGATCTAAATTCTAGACGGTTATAGTAAGCTTCATTTTCTTATTTTGTTTTATTCTTTCGTTTGTTTAAAAATTTTTAAATTCTCATATTCTTTTTTCTTTTTTTAAATACAAGACTAGAATCAGTTTAGACCGGACTGACAGATTGAGTAGGACCATTAGTTTTATATGAAAAATTAATTTTTATTTAATAAAGTTTACTGATCTTTGACGCTAAATTTCACGTGATTTATTATATTAATTTAACGTTATTTATTGATCAAATAAAAATTTATTTAATTTATTACTATTTTATTTTAATTCAAATTTTTATTAAAAAAAAAGTTTTTGAAAAAAACTTTAATAAATTAAATCTATTTAAATTTAATTAACTATCATGAAAATAATATTGTGAAAATACTTTTTTTTTAAAAAAACACATATTTTCCACCTCCGCCCCCAATCACCCACCCTATGATATTAACTTTAATTTATACTTTTTTACTTTACACAAACGCGAACACAAAATACTCATATAAGTTTGCAATACAAACCCCTTTATTTCAATAAAATTAGATTATCTACTGTAATTTCTTTATTAACTATCATAACTACAAATTATTAAAATTATTATAAACTTATCTTTCATAGTATATATCAATAGTACTTTATTTTTTACAATTAAAATCCTCCACTTTGGCTATCCGCAAATACTTTCAAAATGTTTTTAAATCTTCAGTATTATACATAAAATTATCTTGCTATTCAAAATAATTTATAAATATTTTTAATCCATCAATAGCTTTGTTAACTAAAATAGGAGAAACTTCTTCCTCTTCTTCAATATCACTTTCTTCTTTTTCTTCAGTTAATACCATATTAACTATTTGTTCATCAGTAAGAAATTCCTCAGTTGGTATATTTTGATCAATTATTTGAAAATATTCTTGTATTCCTTCTGCATCTGGCAAAACATTAAGAAGACCAGCAATTTCCTCATTTTCTTGCTCTCTTATATCATCATCAACAAATTCATTATCAGACGAAAGTATACACATTTTCATCCAACAATTATGAATAGTCATTGGAGTAACATTATTCTAAGCCTCAGTAATATAATCTATTGCTTCTTTAACATTTAACTTATCACTAAATAAATAAATAAATAAATAAAATTAATTTATTATATTTTATTAAAATAAAAAAATAATCATAGATTTTTATAACTTACTTTATATGATTTATCCCAGAATCAAATTTACAAATTTGATCTCTACAAAACTCTTATTTATACTTTGTTTTAAAGCTATAGATAATACCAGTATCCATAGGTTGCAAATACGCGGTAGTATTTGGTGGAAGGCAAATAAGTTTAATATTTGTAAGAGTAATATCAGGTGTTATTTTTACTTTTTTTTTTGTTTTTTTGCTTTTTTTCTTTGATTTTCATAACTAGATCCTTCCTTATCATTAGATTCAGTTTTAGTAGTATTATTCTCTTCAAAAACTTTTGGATTAAAATGAGATCCAGCATTATCAACAAGAAGTAAAATCTTTCTTTCCATTATTCGAAAATAATAATCTAAATCTTTTATCCATTCAACAAATATATCAGATCTCATCTATGCTTTAGAATTAGCTCGATAAGTAACAGGAAATGTTGATTTATTAAGATTTCTAAAATATTGGGGATTAAAAGATTTTCCAATTACAAAAGGACAAAGCTTATGAGAACCTGTTGTCTTTGCACAAAAAAGTATAGACATCCGGGTTTTATCTTATAAAATTAATTAAATAAAATTTATTTAAAAAATTTATAACTAATAAAATTTTTAAAGTTTATTAAAAATAAATCTCACCTTCTTATGACCTGCTATAGCTCTTGTACTAAGTGTTTGGTTTGGTTCCATACAAAAAAAAGACCAGTTTCATCAGCATTGTAAATATCTTCTTTATTATATAATGATAAAAGTGCACGCAAACGTAATCTTTCTTCTGGAAGGGTTATAAGTGGAGCACTATTTGATTCACCAGAATAATTATATTTTTGAAATCCATTTTTTTGTTTAAATCTCCACACCTATCCATTAGTAAATTTGAATTGATTCTCTCTAATATTCAATATTTGTGTAATTTCTATTCCTTTTTGTTGTAAAATTAAATCTGTTAGAGGAAATCCAGCTGCAACTACTTGAGATATCCAAATTTGTAATATTTTATCAAGTTCAGGAAATTGTGTAGTATGATGATGAAATTTATGTAAATTTTATGAACTTGACAAAATAACTAGCCATTTTTCATGCTCTTGCTATATTTTTGTAATAGTGGTTCTATTAATATTTTTACCACTATATTTTTCATTAAAATATAATGCAACAG